ATAAAGTGCTGCTGGCGCGTCTTCCAACTCCTGTTCTTTCCCACTCGCCATACCGACACATTTCTCCACAACAACAGATTTTTTCTGCTACACCCGGCTATGCTGCTTCTTGTTTACTACTGATGGTTGGCTTTGGTCGCAGTACCGCCACCTTCTGCTCTGGCTCTGGAGTGTACACGCTTCGCCTATGAGAAAAAGGAGCAGCGCATGAACCGAACGCAACACACGCCAATCGAACCTAGACAGTCAAACCGAACGGTTCCATCCCTAATAAATATATATATATATATATATATATATTAGTACACTAAACACTGTCATTGCTCTTGCCTATCAGTTTAGATGAATGACCATGTCATGTTAAGCTAGCTATACTCTTTTCACTCTCAGGTGAGAGTTCGGACATTGTACCCCGAGGTGTTTACAGCTTTGGAATTTACTTTATGGCCTAACCTTGCTTTAAATCCCCTGATTTGTGTTCTGTGTTCCTTGTTCTTCATCAGAGTCCCATCAGCTTAAAACAATGCAAAGTTGATATTAAGTTACCGATAGGTTGGGTTTTTAAATGCAATTAGTTGCATTGCGATTAATCATTTGAGAGATTACAAATGGACACCACACGTATCATATTTCTACTTGCAAAAGTAAGCAAAGTGTGTGTTTTTCTTCTACTTCACAATTATATTTATCTCTCAAGAGCTGTTAACCTTTTAGTTAAAGGGTCAGTGCAAACAAGAAAGCAGATGGTTTAAAAGAATTAAACAAACAGTAAACATTAGAATTTAAACCTCTCCACTATCTGTTTTCTTTCGGCATGTCTTTCCAAACCCTTAAACCGCCTCTTCACTCCTTCTACTCAGTGGCTCTATGTTGCTTGTCCTCGCAGACACCCCTTAGGCCTTGGCAAACAGGAAACACTTAGTGTTATCGGCTCACTCTTTGTGTGTCCTAATGAGTGTTAGGCTAAGGACAGAAAGGGAACACACACCCGATTCCAATGTAAACACTCACTGCAGGACAAAAAGTAGAAAGACTGATGTAGAGGCATGGAGGGTGGACTGGGCGACAGGAAAAAGGACTGACAGCAGCAAAGTTAAGGGAGTTTTACTTCCTGTTGGTAAACCCTGGTATTAACATCAGCTTCTTAGGAATTGTGGGTAATAATTGGTTGTATATTACTATTTTAGTAGTAATTAAGTCTTCTATGTGGATTTTGAAATACAGATTTTTCCTTTTGAAAGTAAAAAGAAAATGAGTTTGCAATATTTCTTCTTGATGACAATATGGATGACATAGTTCAACCCTGTTTTTAAGAGTTCTGCTAGTTGTTTTGCCGTTGATTTTTTTTCCCCCTGCCCCAGAGATGATTTTTATTCTGTATGTGGCCGAAAGTGGAGCAGTGCATTCCGCTCCACTTAAACTTGTCAACTGCAATGTGGCCGAGTGATGTCAATGTCACGCTGAGCTGCCCTGACTCTCCAATATCACTGTGTCTTTTAATTTTACAATTTTTTTTCCTGTGTTTACTTTGAAAGCCTTAGCATTTTAGAGGTCACAAATGTAATACAAATATTCTATCTCATCACCTTGTTAAAAAAAAAAAAAAAAAAAAGAAAATACCTAAAAGAAATAATCTAGAAGAAAACATCTAAGAAAATCTCTACTGAAGTACTGGAGACCAGGAGCGTTGTTCCTTCTTTATGGAGAAATATTTTCAGCATAGTAATGCTATTTGTCTTCATTTCGATTTTGAGTGGCTGACTCTACAAATAAACCCTTCTGAGTATTATCTTTCCATTTCAGCAATTTTTCTTAAGACACTTGGATAATAACGAAAACCAATTATGTCCTTATTTAATCCCATTTCAATGTATTAAATGTAAAGGATATTTGTCACATGAATTTGAATTCAATAGGCTGACCCCCTCTTTCTTCCCTGGAAGCTGAAGTCCCACCATGAACTGATTAAAGACTACTTGACAAGTCCCCTCTCTGTCTGGGAGCTTTACATATACAGGCAAAGTAAAGTATACTTTGAGGGAAATGAGAAGATTAAGATTGATTTATTCCTGACAGGCTTGTGTAAACTTTACAGGATCAGATGCAATATCAAAGGATTTCAGGACTGTTTATTGTTGGGAGCCGTACAAGGTACAGAACCAGTTAGGTTAAGGCAAAGGATGTTATAGAACTTCAGTAAAGAATCCGTACATATTAACAGTTCATAACCTGCTTTGTAAATCAGTCCGTCGTTTATTTGAGGGTGTTTTTCTTGTCACCATTTCCTGATGTTCAAGGCACTCAATTACAGCCGTCTGATCTGCCCTTCCTGGTATCCAAAAACACAAGATAAGGGAAGCGTTGTCCTCTGCTCAACAATTGCATATTTTTCAATTAGAGCAAATGAATAATGTAAGCAGAGCTCCTTTGATGTTTCTTTGTTTTTGTCCCAGAGGATATCTTTAAATGTGCGCATTTCTTTTCATGTTCTTTATTCTTATAGGACTTTCTGTAGTTTTAATGAAGCATGCCTCATGCAGTAAATGAAAAACACATGACTAGAAAAAATCATGGGACTTGTAGACAGACTGAGAGGGAAATTCATTCTGGTTTTATGAAAACAAGAAATCTGAACCTTTACACCACATGGGATGTTTTCTTTAAAAACGTTCTCCTACTGTGTTCTGCTTCATAGCTTACCGATTTTTCTGATGGATGATTCTTTATTTTATATTTTAAAGAATCCCTTTTTTCTGTTTAAGTTGTGTTTTCGTTTGAAAATAGTCCAACTGTCCATAAAAGGCAATGTATCAAAGAGTGGTGAATCATGTATTTTTGTATGATGCATGTTGCTTTTTAAGTTAACTGAACAAATCGGAAATCGTTTCAATCTATTGATGACACAATTCTTCACAACCCTGCTGTGAACATTTTATATTTCCCTTTTGCATTTAGGGAAGCTTTTTTTACTATGTAATTTGACAAGTTTAGAGCTTACAAAGGGAGATCTTTAACCTTTGAGTTTGATACAATCTGCCACTGAAGAGCATTATGATTATATTTAGTGAATCATTTCAGTTTTAATTTAACCAAAAGAAGTTAGTTATACCATGCAGTCTTACAAGTGTAGGACTAAGAATAGCTGTTGAGGTAAAGAAAAGCTATTTGGCACCTAGTTAATTCTTAACAATCACCTATCTCTTTCTACTGCATTTGTCAGAGTATCAACAAATGTGATAACTTGTAAAAGGAAATTCCATTGTGTAAGGAAATATTTTGGGAAATATTTTTCCTAATAGTTGGCTAATAAGGGAATTTTGTACTACAGTCTTTGTGACTAATTATGAGAATGAGTCTTTCTATCCTTTCTTATAAAAGAAGTTATCCACAACAGTTATGAACTAAAGGTCTTTCGAGAAACACCCCCACAGCATCATAGATCCTATTTTTTCTATACAATGTTCAGTGTGATATTATTTTAAAGATTTTCACATATCATTTTTATTTAGTCTTAGACAACAGAGTTCAGTGGTTACTCCAGCTGTTCCAGTGATTGGGGGGATTATTATAATCCTGCATTTTCCACCAGCTATACAAAATGTACTGCAGTGATAGCACTTGGGTGCTTGCCCTAAAGGCTATTTACACCCTGTAGTGATAACTTGGCATATTGCTCTTTCTAAAATAAGCTTGAATGTCCTACCATATGCATTAATGGAGCCAGAGCTCCACTGCCTTCCACGTGTAGGTCAATAGGTTATCAGGTCAGATACTAATACTGGACCGCAGACTAATACTGGACTGCAGACTAATACTGGACTGCAGACTAATGCGCACAGGTGGCTGCAGGGAGAGCTGACTAATGATCATGTGTTGCCAGCTGCGTGCGGGCCAAGAGTTCAGTTTTCTTTTACCAGCCCTCATAAAGTATTTCAGTTGCATTTTCTCTTTTATCTGCTTTGTTTTGTTAATGTTTTAATGTACTTTTTGTTGCCTTGCCAAATCATACTTGATTCATTGTGGTGGTCTGCTCATAAACTTGCTCTGCAATTTTTAATGTCAATAAATCTGCATGTATTTAGTATTAGATCTCAATCAAATCATCTTTAAAGCTTCCAATAGATGTTCTCAGTATTCTTGGTCTAACAGTGCTGTAAATATGTGGCCGTTTGGTTTGTGTATGTTGTCATTCTGTGCATATTTTTCTTGGATCCTGTCTATGTGTTTGCTCAACCAATTATTAAAACAAATATTGCGTGTCTGTGTGTTTGCATGCCATAGCAGAGGGAAGTGACATTTGTTCTCTCTGAGGCCCAATCCTGCTTTGTCTGGAGTGGATACGACTACGGTAGCTTCTTTGTCTGTTAGGGGTCCCATCATGACAAACAAACCCACTACTTCTGAAACCAGCTGCCAGAGTGGATAAGCATGTGCTGAAACAAACATAGTTGGGCTTTGGTGTTGCAAAGTGCATCATATGTCAATTCATTTGTTTAAGCTATTATATGTGTATATATTAATGTATATGTGTATGTATGTAGGTATGTACGTATATGTATATGTCAAGCGAGCGTTAAAACTTTTTAAAAGTTTTTAAAATGTTGCTACTTCCATTGACATCTTCTAAGGTGATACTTTAAAGCGTGCATAAAGGAAGCATTGATGGAAACACCTGTATTTTGAAATTCTACTGTTTTAAACACAATAAAGAACAATGTGGGGACTAAATGATGCGTAAGATAAACATTGGGGTGATTTTTGTTTTTGTTTTTTTTTGTTGCATTATAACTGTTTGACATATGTAGTGTTTGTGCAAATTGCTTTGATACTTTTAATTTAAATGATAATCAGAAATGACCCAAAGTCACTCTGTGCTCACTCAAACATAATCAACTATGCTGCTATTACAGTTTGGGGGGGGTACATCACATCTTTGTGATTGGCATATTTTTATTTTTCCTTCTGGTTGCTAATCCTGATTCTTTGAAATGTTCCTGTAGGCCAACGAGTGGAACAAAAACGACGAGCGCCTCCTTGCTGCTGTGGAACATGGCGAGGTGGACAAACTCGTGTCCCTTCTTACTAAAAAAGGTGCCAATGCTGCTAAGCTGGACGGTGAAGGGAAATCAGCGTAAGCATTCTTTTGATCGTCTGCTGATAATTTAATTTGTTTGTGCTGTTTTTGTCTTTATGTGGAGCACAGGAATCTCATTATACCAGGAAAACCCATAAAGCTATGTTCGTAATGACTGTTTAATTAATGCACAAGAACCCCAGTCTATCTTTTGCTTACAGAAAGGAATTCAGCAGAGAGAGTCATTTACATAATAAAAGACAGGAGTCTGGAGGGATTTCTCAAGAATGAGCATACAATGTTGAGCTCAGCCTAGAGAAAATATCTACAAGTCCTGCAGAGTGAACTGTTTATTATTCTGTTGTGCTTTTAACTTGGGGTTCAACAAAAAACTGGATGCTGAAGATTGTTAAAGGACTTTCATGCTTCACAACACAATATTTAACGTATATCTATTTAAACATTTCACATTTATACAACCTACAATGTGCTTCAATAGCTAATCATTTCTGCAGAGGCAGGGGAGCTTGTTGCATCACCACTTGAGGTTGTTGATAACAAAGAGGCTCAATGTTTTTATATTTGACCTCTTTTTTTCTTTTTTGTCACATACTGACGTTAACATGCTGAGCCGTTCACGCAAAACGAAGTGCTTAGAAACAAGACTAGATGACTAGAAACAAATACGCTGATTCCTGCTAACCCAAGCAAACAAACAGCCTTTTTATTTCACAACTAGCACTAATCCCTGACCCTTTGTCTGTGTGCAAGTGGAACACTGGAGAACCCAAATGGATGCACACTCATGATTTTTATACATCAACATAATCGTGATGGTTATTTTTTTATTTTTGTTTCTTAAACCAAACTCATATAGTATGCAGTATCTCTATGGTGATGGAGCCTATTCAAAAAGCATGCAGACCTAGTTTTGTGCCTTTTTTTTATGTGCACATCCTCCACGTACACACTAAGTGGAAGCAGGGCATGTGCATCAGTTATTTATTGTTTTTCATTCTACTCACTGACTTGGAAGGGGGCTTATTGATTGCCCTCTTTATACATATAAACAAACAGCACGTACAGTCCAGACATTCCTCACATACTGGTTAATAGTTATTGTATTCATGAGCACAAGGCAGTACTTTTAAAGCAGTCTGTACCAGAAAAAGCTAGGGAAAAAATCTGTTAAAACACAGAAACGGTCAGAAAACATTTCTGACCCCTTTTGTTATCCTGCTCCTTTGTATCTTTTAAATCAGTAAAATTGCTTTTAATCGAATTAACATAAAATAAACCTTGAATAAAAGCAAATCCCCTGATTTAAACCAAGAAAGATATTGCTGTAATTATGTGAAAGGCAAAGATTTGAATTTCAATATAACCTGTAATTGAAAAGGAAAGTGGTCTCTTAAAGCCGCCCCTAAAACTACTGAAGGCAGGCAAGAACATTAAACCACAATGTATATTTAAAGTACTTTAAATTTTTTTCTTTTTTTTTTCTTTCTTTTTTTTATATTATACACCCTTAGCATCCCTAAACTAGGATGCTGATATATATGGCAAATTGTGTAATATCTGAGACCCCATAAGTCTTAGTGACAAATTGTTTGCTAGGATATTGTTTGGTTTTAATTGTTTTAGGTTGTTCTCTGTTTTTTAAGATCTGATTCATGCAGTTGAGCAACTATTTTATCATTTGTATGAAATAATTTTAGCTACCAGTAACACCAGCCTGTTCAGCTGGATACAGTTAAATAGGTTGCTATGGAGCCCATCAAAAGCAAAAGCACAACCTCCTTTTAAGGCTGATTTATACTCAGAAATTAGGTGGTCTGCGTGTGTGTTGCAGTGAATGCAAATGTACCTCCCGCCCCTGCCGCAGACACTCTGCTACACCTCTCCAAAATTGTAGGTAACCCCAGAAAGGAGGCCTCTGATCGATCAAATCAACATCCGCTCTACACTGTGCCCATTTCCTGTTTGGTACCTTACCGGCTTGTTTTGTTTGTGTGAGCACCATTGTGAAAAACGACTTGTGATTATGGACCAGCTAGAAGAGCAAGGTGTCCAAGAACTTTGGGACCCTTTTCCCACATGGATCCCCGCTGTTTTTTGCCCTCATGTCCCTCCGTTTTAGCACAAACTCAGTGCCTCGGCCGTGTCTAGACCCACAGCTAGTTCATGATTGTCCCTCTTGCATTATAGCGTGGAATAACACAGCGCAGACCACACTTCAATATTGGGCATAAATCAGAAATATCTGCGCCAAGCTCACTGTGACACACTGCTGCGGGAGTATAACCGGCCGGGAAGAGTCCCAGTTGTTATCTGTTGAATTAACATAAGTAGGAATACAGTTGAAAGGGGTTAATTGCTTTGCAAATTAAGCAGCTTGGAACTAGAGGTGGAGCTAGAGGAGGGCTGCAGGGGGTAGGGCTGGGCGATATAGAAAAAAAGCTTATCGATAAAAAAAAATGCATATTGATCGATATCGATAATTATTGAAAAGATTTGAAACAATATTTTATGTGCAGCTCTGCCTGGACTTTTTATAATATTGCTAAATGATTTAATTTTAATAAAAAACACAAACACAGACTTCCAATTAAATCTTTATTTAACCAACTTTTTTAACCATAACAGAATTGATTTAAAGAAAAATAACTTAAGAGACCTGAGTTATGTTATTAAATACTGACAAAGAATAAACTAAAGTGTGTTGTGGTTTGAGAGGGCGGCGCTTGGTGACGGCGTGCCTGGGTCCGCGATTGTGATTGGTTGGGAGGAAGTAGTGACTAGCATAAACCTACATGCTAGGCTACAATGAGAAGGAAGGAAAACTGCGTTTCTTTTTTATCGAACTTTTATAGACCCCCTTTTTTTCTATTGCGCCACACGTCTATCGATCGAAATATATCGTTATTGAATTATCGCCCAGCCCTAGCAGGGGGCCTTGACCCCTCTGAAATCTGATTGACCCATCCTAGTGCTTAAGATGATTGACATCTCAGAATGTCTGTTTGCTCCTGTACAGTAAATGGTGCTTTCTATCACTGAGGGTTGCAATTGACCCATGAAGATCATTCGTACATTTAAGTAAATCAGAGAGATAGACTGTCTGAAATTTTGCCTTAATCACTATATAGTGATTACGCCATTTTTGATGAGTGTCCGAATGTCTAGCGAATGAAATAGTAGTGGATGCGAAATTTCCCACAATGCACCTTAAAAAGTAGTGATCATCATGGTCAGACAAGCAGATATATCACGGAAAGCTTTGCGAGGAGAGCTCTCCTGGCAGCGACAGTGGCGACAAATAAAATGGCGCAAGCATGGTGTTGGGAGGCGGAGTTTCGTGATCAATGGGGAGAGAAAAGTAGTGAACATCTGGCCAAATGGTCAGTTAACTGAGTTCACTATAAAGTCCACTATATAGTCCCACCTCTATATAGTGTTTGAGGGATTTAGGGGTTAGGATGGACGTTCAGACACTGCCATTGTGTATCATCAATCAATAACTGTAGAAAAAATGGCAGATAGATGGCAAAACAATTCCTCTGACTCCTGCAATATGTTTGTTGGGGGACGGATCCCAAACCCTAAATGTATCCATGAACTTTATTGGTTTTTATGGTCGGTTTACTTACAGCCTCCAGGACTAGTTAAAATCAATAAAAGTGATTTGTAAAGGTTAAACAGAATACGTACATTAGAAATGAAATTTAAAAAGTAAAAATTTAAAAGTGCAAAACGCATTTTAAAATAAAAGCTGTATGTTTTATTAACTATCTGCAGTAAAAATACTAACATTGCAGTTTATCTGAGTTCCACGCTGTAGCGCTTGCTGCCATGTGGCTGTAATATGGTTTAAACCATGGCTGAGATGTGCATGACATGCAGATGGTGTGGATTCTATTAATATTGGAATTGAAAGAAAAATCTTTGTGTTCCCTGAAAAACATTCTACTTTCTTGATGACGGCTGTCTTTTCATAAACGAGGTGCCATGTAAATGTTCTTGTTGTAATACTGTGAGTAATTTGTTCTTCACTCTGGATTCTGTGCACAGCCTTCATGTAGCAGCTGCTCGTGGCTTAGCAGAATGCCTCTCTGTAATCTTGGCCCATGGTGCTGACCTCGCAGCCACTGATGCTGCTGGTATGTATGCTGGGATTTTTTTAGACATTATTCTGAGAAGTATAGCCTGTCTATGGAATGGATGTCCTAGGAAAATTTAAGAGAATTTACTCTAAATTTGTCTGTACCGTGCTACCTACCGTTCCATTTTGGATGGTTTTATTAATCCTTTCTAAACAAAGACATTTTCATTTCTCTTTAGGTTTTACTCCATTACACCTGGCTGCCAAAAACAATCACCTGGAATGTTGCAAAAGACTTATTCAGGTAATCCTCATAAGCCAAAAAGTTAATTTATTGTCATAGAATAACAGAATTTTATTAACCTTGAGTTTAAGAATAAGTTGCGCTAGACTAAACTAATGAACCAATTTATTAATATATTAAGTCAAAGTATTTCGGCTTTATAAGCATATCTCCATAATGTTTTTTTTTTTTTCAAACAGAATGTTCTATAAATGCCTTATTATTACCCCTTTAACCTTTTCGTCATTGTTCATATTAGTCACAGTTCAATGTATTTTATCTTAATTTTTGTTAGCAGATGAACAAAAAGCAGCTTTTAATGAAGCACAGTAATGATTTAGTTTCCTAAAGTGTTTTTTTTACAAAGAACGGTGGTACAGTAAATCATCCTTCCACAGCTGTGTCTTACAGTGGAGGGGATTGGTTCAAATGATGTCTAGTGTTTTCTTTTTCACTATGCAAAGCAGAATGTTCAGATTTGCTTTCTGCATGTTCTTTTTATGGCTTGTTTCTTACCGCTCCTTCATACAGAGTTGGTGTTTTAAGTGCATATATTAATGTTTTTCTATCTATAGAATCTCCCACCTGAGCTGTGGTTTTCTGCTGCTCCTCCAGAGTTTTCACAGGCCTCTAGACTATTTAAGCCCTCCATACAAGGCCTATGGTGGACTGAAAGATTGAGAACTTTAAAGCTTTTAACATCTTACGCTGCAATAAGCTATCCCAAACCTTTATCCCTGGCCTATCCTCTACATTTTTATGTGCATGATGTTTTTTTTTTTGTACTATTCTCTAACAAGCATCTCAGACCTACATAGAACAGCTGTATTTATACAGGACTTTAGTTACACACTTAATTAGTTTCAAGGCAATCTGATGCACAGGATTTAATTTCAAGTATTTGAGCAAGTATTTGAAACCTGTATTCTCATTTTTCTTCTTAGTAATTGTGTGTTATATTTCAATTCATTTTCATGTAGTGTATATTATGAGTTTAATTGCAAAATATAGTCAGCATATAGAACAGCTAGTAAAAAAAAAACAAAGCATGGATTTCTACTACTTTTATTTATTGAATCAGAATAAAGTTTATTCCAGAATTTCCTTACTTTGGTTCTGAGTTGCTGTCAAAAACAAAATGTGTGAAAGCACAACTTTCACTAAATGAACCCTATAGTGAGAACTACCTGTTTTTTGCCAAGGCATCTGAAACCAGACAGTTTCACTGCTCCATTTCTAGACCTTGCTGATTGTGTGAGGAGATCAGCAGGACTGACAAGCAGACGCACACTATTCCTACTCTGATCTGCTGACTTGACTACCTCGTGGCAGTCTGCAGCATCACAGCAGCATCCACTACCCTGCCTCATTGCTCAAAGAACGGTCTGCAGCACAGCAGATGTCTCTTGTTGTTCTTTCAGGTTGATTTCCTAAGCTGTAAACAACATGTCTACTATTCACAAAGAAACCATCTACGTTCTTAAACTAAACATGAAACCTAAAGATAAATAAATTGAGCATACTTTTGGATAAACTGATTATTTTGGTAACAGTTCTGTACTGTCTTGCATCTCATTATGTATAAGTCAAACAGAATTCTTGTAAAAATATTTTTCTGTGGAAATCAAAGTTCTGACTCATCAAAAAAGCAAGATTTTTATCTCAGCTTTTTACAAGCAGTGTAAAAACCAACTTGATGGGAGACATTTTACTGTTTTCTTACAACCTTTCTTTGTCATAGGAAAAAGGTTGGATAAGAAGTCCGACTATAGACTCTGAAATGTTGGATTTGCTAAAATAATCTTCTCGTTCCAGAGTAAGTGTCCTTTTGAGACTCCAGATAGCTCAGGAAAAACTGCTCTTCATCATGCTGGTAAGTGTCTCAGCAGTCTTAGAGTTAATTATACAGAGCTGCTGTTATACAGGCTGGGTCTGAACGTGGGAATGTTTCATGCCGGATTAACTTTAAACTGTAATTTAATTTGGATGAAAATACACCCCGTATGAAATTTAGTGATCAAGAGATTCTTTTCATTTGATCCTCAGCTGCCGGTGGGAACATCAAGATTGTTCAGCTGCTGTGTGAACTGAAAAGTCCCATCAACCAAAAAGATGCAGTATGTACATTCATTATTTCTTCTACTCTAACAGCATGTTTTTTTTTTTCTGGCATGGGAGATAGGATCACTTAAACTGAGTTAAAACCATAAATAGGTTGGGTTTTAGTGTTCTTCCTTTAGAGAATAAAGTTTTAAGACACGAGTGTTTGCTTTGAATTTGCCTTTTTATAAGGATCCTACAGTCTGAGAAGTTCTAGAATTTGAATAGAAATTTAGATATTAGCTTATTTTTTAGTTGCCATCCATCCATCCATCCATCCATCCATCCATCCATCCATCCATCCATCCATCCATCCATCCATGACTTAGACGAGGGCAACTTTTATTCTCATTTTGTATACACAGATGTTTACTTACATGACATTTCCATTCCTTAAAGTGCAGCAGTGATCAAATGCAAACAGTGTGCAAAAAATGCATGGTTTAAATATGCAGTGTTTTGGTTTGGTGTTGTCAGTGTGATGCAGAGTCTGACATCATTTAGATCCATCCATCCACCCTTTTTGTACTGAGCGGCTTTTGCATCTCATTAGAAAAATAATAATTTCAACCCTACAACTGAAAAACATGGTATATAATATATACCAGTAACAGGCTTATTTTGGTGAGCAACTCTTTGTTCCCTTTCAGGCTCGGATGAGAAGGGGGGGGCTGTGAGAGATGTAACTAAGCAAAAGCAAATGTTCCTCAGTAAAAATGAGCCTCATGAGCTGACATTTACTCTCATTTGTCATCTGTTTGAAGATTAATTTCTGTGTGTGCAAAAGGTAGAAGGTCAGAGTACTGTGGGAACTTATGCTGCAGACATGTGGTCTCTATTGCAGTGACAGACCATGCCTGTTGCTTTTATCCAGCTGGGATAGGAAACCATAATATGGCATGCAGGGTTGTGTGTGTCTGTTTAACTGAGGAGCAATTAATTTTCATTTGATCACCATGCTGCTTTTAGCTTGTTAGGAATAGGTTCACACTATATTACTGCACTCACTTACAGTCAACCCTCTTGCAAACATTATCATTTAGTGTTAGATAAAGGAGATGTCAGCCTTATTTCTATATAAATAGATTCCACATTATATAACAAACACAATTCAGGTCTCTTTCCCTTGATAACTAACAGGACTTAGGGTTAGAGCTTTGAGATTTGGCTTAAAAATATAATCTTTTTTTTTTATCTGCTGAATCTGTTAAATAATTTATTTTTCCTCAATAAAGTTTCAGAATAAAAATGAAAAATGACAATTATCACCCACTTTTTATAGATTACCTTAATGTAAAGGGCAACAGAATTAAGCTGTAAAATGATAATTATGCTTCATAATAAACAATGAAAATATAACAAACTAAATGTTTACAGCCATAGATGAGTCACAGAGATGCGTTCATCGTTTATAAGGAGACATCTAAGAACAAAAAGTGATGAACTTATGTCAATCAGAGCTATGGAAGCTCAAGGATATGATTTGATTATTTATAAAATTCAAATTTTCCAAAAATCAAAGCTTCATAAAAAAAAAAAATCTGTTTAATCTTTTTTATTGATTAATCGCCCAGCCCTACTGTGGGATAAGACATCCTGCTGTATTCACAGTATGCACTCAAAAATAGCAATAAAATATATATCTTTCTGTATTTATTAAGATTGTTTAAGGATTAACAATCGGCCCCTCTTAAAATGGACTTCATCAGCTATTGAGTAGCAATATATCTCTGACTTCTGTTTCTCGATAAAAGCTAAGAGAAATCACTGTCATGTTCCATGAAGATCATTTACTTTTCCAGCCACAATGATCTGCAAATGTGTGCGAGCAGCTTGGCCCTCTGTCTTCTATTAGTGGAGGCAGTTTGTGGACCGGTCGTCTGGAATATGAAGCTCTTTATGCTGAGCTTAACATGCCAGCTTGTAAGCCTGGGGCATCCATCACAGCTGGATCATATGGCCGTACCTGATCTGGGTTGGACTTTAATAAACACACAATGAAATGAAATATGAAACAGAAACATCTGGCAGATCAAACATTGAAACATATCAACTAAATGCTTTTTTAAGTTAAGCTCATAGTAAAGTAATTTTCTCTACTTAAACTTGTACATCTTCTTTTGGCGAATCCGTATTTTTAAACAGCTTGAAACTAAATCTTAGCACAATTTATGTAACATAAGGGGTTATCATTCTTCCAAAGGCTTCTTTAGCTTTATGGCATTTTAATGTATTTATGAATGGATGAAGTTTTCCTGTAGGTTTAGTTTCTTATCAAACCTCCTCAAAGCAGTAAACATATGCCTTTGTATTCCTGCACCATACAACTTTATACACTTATTTTACACATATTTTCATGTTCTAATGGATGTCCCTAACAACTACTTCATTAAGGTGTTTAATTAGGTTTTTAGCCTAGTATTACAGTAAACTACTCTGCATTGTGAGTAGAAGTCATATTTAAGTTTATTAAAGACTTAAACCATCAGTCAACCCAGAACAGCAGGGACTATAGATGAATAACAGAAGATACAAGCAAGTAGAAACTGAAAACTAGGTATATAAATACTGAGGAGGTATTACTGATTGCTCCACAGGAGACTTTAATTAGCAGAATGAAAAACAGCTGACGGAGAGTATACAGCTTAGGAGCCAACAGAGGGACTATGGAGAGGCAAATGGAAGAAAAGAAACATTAAAGAGGAAAAAACAGAAACCTAACGAAACCAAGGCCACCAATAAATAAAGAATCCTTAGTGAAAAGGTGACTAAGAAACTCTGAAACACCAATTAAAAGAGGATAATAAATAACATCGAATCTAAGAAGAACTTTAAATAAAATGGCAACAATAACTGTGTCTATATATATATATATATATATATATATATATATATATATATATATATATATATATATATATGACACACAAATACATGATCACACACATTTTTCTAGCTATGTTTGATGAGAACTATGAATTGACTTCCATACATTTTCATTCACTTTCAACCCTTTCTAAGCCCTAATTCTGACAATAACGGTAAGCTTAACCATTGCCAGTGCATACCTCAGCCTGACCCTCACCCTAAAATAAAATCAATTCACACCTTGGCCCTAAACTTAACCCCTTGCTAAATAGCTTGTGAGGAGCAGAAAAATATCCTGACTTTACAATCAATGGACCTCACTTTGCTGGTAAAAAAAGAAAAATGGTTCTCACTCAGATGGCCAAACAGGAACACACACACACGTTCAACTTAATCTGTTGCCCAGAATAGGACACAATTACTTTTGCCTTTTGGTTTCCAGAGTAGCAGCAGCAATACAATCTGGTCATAGCAGGCAGGCCTGTTAAAGTCTTCAACATAACTCTGAAAAAACCCAGAACATAGTTTTGTCCTCTTTGGTCTGTGGAAACAGCAGCAGCCTTGTAATAGAAAACACGCAAGTATGCAGTTATGGTTTACTGCTTAATGTTCTTTCGCTTTTTACCCCAGGCGTCTCAAAAAAAAAAAAAAAAAAAAATCATGTTCCTGTGTTAAAGAATTTTTTTATTTAAGGTAGTCAGAACAAAGATTTATTTTAACACCATTGAAGAACAATTGTTTTGAGACTCTGTAAAACAAAAACGAATACCTTTCTTAAAAATTTCAGACACCAATGATGCATAAGAGATGCATCAAATTCAAGGTTTAGTCATACTTGCTACAATTAATTCATAATAGGTCGCCAAAGAGTGAATTAAAATGTTTGAAATTAAAAAGAATTTAAAAATGTGGGAAAGCCGGGAATGTTATAGTAAAAACAACTGATAAGCAAGTTTATTTTAATTATTTGGCATCTTATTTGGCAAAGATAAAAATCATAAAGTGATTTTAAAGACAAATAAAAAAAATAGAGCATTAAATTAAAACATGGGTAAAAACAAAATCCAGCGTAGGTAACATAAAGTTAGAACCAATATGATAAGGTGGAGTACATTGCTTTAATAACAATCTCAAGTTCCTGGTTTAAAACTAGCCTCCTTAGGCTGGAATTATTTCCTTTTTTTTTTTTTTTTACCTCCAAAAGATATTTTTCAGAAACACCTTCTGTTTGCCCAAAAGTTATATCTGTTGCCTGATTATATTAGCTGAGCTCTCTGGGGCAAAGATCATACCAGAGGTTCCCTGAAGGAGTCACTGTTCAACCAATGGGGGAGTTTCTATAGTCATATAAGTAATAGATAGTTTTTAAAGTTTCTAAAGTAGCATTACATATCCTCCAAATCAAATTCATAGTAGATTTTATGAAACGTAATAATTATCTGTTAATAAAAAGGAAAGATTCATATTACCTAAGACTGTTCCAGAGATCTCCAGCAATAAATTGCTTGAATTGTGATGGTTGTGATCAACCATATTAAAGGAAACTTAAAGATCAAAGGAGCCTAAAAGGGTAATTTCCCTGCTGTGTGCAGACATCATGATGCCACTGGAGACTTTTATCAATGCAGCTTTTCTTCGGTACATTTTGAGAAAACTTAATTGCAAGTGGATGGTGTTATTTTTATAGAAGCTCTCACAAGAAGTATGATTTCCTATCTTAGTTTTGCCTCTTTTAACAATGTTGCTCGGACATCTGAGCAAAAGCCTGTTCCATAGCTGCGACGGGCTTAGAAAATCAACCATTCAGCACTTTGGTTACACAGGGCTGTCTATAAACTGGATGTCATGGTCAGAGTTGGAATCCATCAGTCCAAGTGAAGAAGGTGCTACATTTCATGAAATACTGCAGCTGTTGGTCAGCTATGACAACTCTGTGTTAAATTCTGCTGAACCCACCTATTGAAGCAGCAGCTTTGTTATTTTTAAATGTTTTTCATACCCATATATAGGCAGGAGATATATGGTACTCCGTGTAAATTGGCTAATGGCTATATGTGTATTTCTGTACTACAATGTAAAGTAACACCTAATGTTTTATAGTTGTCAATTTATTTTATAAGTAAACACAATTCCTTCAGCTGCAGTGTTCTCGGATATATATATTTTTTCAAGGTTTCCTTCAATTCCTCCTGAACCTTGCAGCTCATTTCAGATTGAACTTTTACCTTTATTTCCAAAAAAATGTAAAATAGCAAAATTCCCAGTTTAACCAATTTGCAAGCCATCAAATTTTTATCATGGATTTAATCTGTAAATGTAATGTAAACGTTTAAAAATCTTAAATAAGTCACTAAAAAGTAAAATGTTTTAAACATTTGCATTTATAAACAAAGAGCCCTCAAAAGAATATACAATTTATCTTCTTTTGTGTAGAAATTCACAAGACCTGTAAATAATCTGTTACCCTTTGCCCTAATTAGAGAAACCATGCTCTCAAGGCAATTTTTGAGGGAGAAAATAACTGTTAGAGATAAGATAACTGTTTACATATATGATCAGGCTTTAGGGGTCAATGCTCTTTTAATGTGAACATCATCTGAATCTTCTTTTCCAAAATTTTTTTATTAAAGAGTTGTTACCTAATTAACTCATGTTGACAATTGTGAATTAAAAAATCGAGTTTATAAGCCCTGTTTTGATATATATAAAAAAATAATTATATAGTATTCACTTTTTGTCATAAGATTTATGCTTAAAACACAGACCTTTTAAAGGAGAATACTGCCTCAGAGAGCATGGATGTTTACATACACCAGGTCTTTTTTCATTCTCTTTCAAATAGCTCAGGTTTTCTCATCTCAAAGGTAGCTGGCTTACTTCATGTCAAGGACCACAGCTTGGTGTTTTGCAGGATGGCTTAGAGATGTTTACGTTTGCCATTTGGAATCTAGAATATTCAGCATGACAGCAATACATGTTTGTAATGTCTGTTTTTCTCACAAAGGATGGTCTCACTCCGTTGATGTTGTCAGCCAAATACAGTCATTCTGAAGTATGCAGCATGCTGCTGGACTGCGGTGCTGAAATCAACACCCCTGACAACTGTGGCAGGTAATCAAAAACACATGAAACACTCACTATAAGAAAGATAACAGACTTAGGATTCATGTATTCTTGCACATAGGTGGATGTTTTTATTTGTATGCTTGCTTGCATTAATGCCAGGTCTTCTCTCCGTGTTGTAGGACTGCCCTCATGCTTGCAGCTGAGTCCAACGCAGTTGCCGCAGTTGAAGTTTTGGCTCAAAGAGGAGCAGATCTCTCAGCTGTAGATTTAGAGGGCCATGATGTTTTACATTATACCAAACTATTGGGCAACTCAGAAGCCCAAAGTGCTCTCTTGGCTTCCCTGAACAAACATCCACATATAGGTAAGACTAAAAGAAAAAAAAATTAAATTTCTTTCTCAGGTATATGCATTATTTAATAAGCCTAATCTAATTAGTATTTTTCTTTCAATGGCTGTCCTTTAAATAAAACTACAGTAAACCACTTTAAAATCTTTCAGTTTTCCATAAAATATCAACACTGCCATCTGCTGTTAGAATGGGGTTACTTTCCATGATTTAGTTTTTGCCAAAATTCTTTAGATCTGGACCCACAAATTATCAGTAGAAGAAAATTGTGACCTCAAACACTAATAAAGCAAACAAGTTTCTGTGAGAACCCAGCTAAATATAAATGCATAAGCTTAATGATGCAAACATCTCTACCAGATATACAGTATATATCCTACATTAATGAAAACATTTTTTTTTATTTATTTTTTTTTTACCAATCATTTTTTTAAAACATGCTAACTTGTTGTTCTCTTTACTTACTGCCTTGAAAGATTCCAAGTCTCCAAGAAGTCCTCAGGTAAAATATTTTTTACTTTTTACTACTGTTATGTCCCTCCTCAGTGCTCCTAAAGCATCTGAATGTTCACAGATTATTGATTACAATAACCTGCTAGTATAACCTTACCTTAAACATCTCAGTGAAAAAGCATATCAACTTTAAAAACTGCAATCGACAAATAACGTCAAGGTGGAAATTGTTAAAAGTCCCTGGGAAAAAGAGATGGTATTAGATATTTCAGATGAGGTGTGGGCAGAGGCCTTAAAAAGAGTCAATGGCAGCACACTGGGATTAATCCAATTTAAGGTAGTGCATCGTCTCCACTGGAGCAGAGCCAAGATTTCCTCTTTCTACCCACATATGGACAGTAGATGTGTTCGATGTCATGCAGATGTAGCTGACCGACACATATTTTCTGCTCCTGTCACACACTTACACAATATTGATCAATGGTCTTCAATGTGTTGTCTGAGGTTCTGGAGGTGAGAATAGAACCCTCTGTAATAGTGGCTATATTTGGGATACCAGATGCAGTTGATACTTGGACTAAAAAACAATGTAACATCATGTCTTTTGTTACTCTATTGGCGCGTAGGCAAATTCTACTGAATTGGAAATCAAACACGGTAGCTGCAAGATGTGATGATGGTCTTAAACTTGGAGAAAATTAAATTCACCATACGACGTTCTGAAAAGTTTCTGTCAGTGTGGGGACCTTTAATCTCATATTTTTAGGCACTTGATACATTACCAATGTGGCATGTCTTAATCAATGACTCTATTTGGTAGTATACTGGAGTAGCCAACAACACGCAACTTAGGCTATAGCCAGACATGGCTTTAGACTTGATCTGAGGTTATTTTTTCTGTACAAGCCTATACTTGTGATTTGACATTGGGATTTCTATTGTCTTTTCTTTCCCTTCTTGTATAACACTTGTACTTATTTAACTATTCAGGTCCAGGCAGGGCAGGGTGTATTAAGGGTCGGGGGTGGTGTTATCTGTTCTGTGTTAGAAAAAAAGAAAGTAATGTAACTATTCCTGTATATTTTTTACACTATCACTTTCAATAAAAACAAATAAAAAAAAAATGCAATCAAAGTGGGTAGTCCTAATACACTCCCAAGTCTGGGTTTGAATTTGCGGGGGTGTTTTCATAACAAGTGACAGTGAACTTGATATGAATAACTATTGAAAGTACCCAAAACATAACCCTGCTATGCTGCTTATGTTTGATAAAATGCTCAATAAAAACACTTTGTATCACAATTCCAACTTGTGACTCATCGCAACAGCATATGAAACATTTTTGAGTGAAATGGTGTAATAGTTTTGTTTTAAACCTTCAATGGGAAAAGTATCAGTAGTGGATCCGGGTATGATAATGAACTGAGTAACACATGGGAAGAATATCTATGGTTTATCTGGTTTTTAAAAAAAAGGAAAAAAAGTTTGGGGTTTAGTTATTTTTTAAAAGCATGTGTCATAATAATTGAATTTTAAAGAAGGTTTCTAAAACTCACCATCAGTACGGAAGAGGATTAGGGCCACTGGAAGAAAAAAAAATTTCTGACTTTAATCTCAGAATTCTAACTTTTTTCTCAGAATTCTGACTTTAATCTCAGAATTATGACTTTAATCTCAGAATTATGACTAAATTTTAAAGAAGGTTTCTGACCTTTTATTGTCAGAATTCTGAGAATAAAAAATTAAACTGAAATAATATTTAAAAATCAGTTAACTTTTTTTTTTTTCCCAGCGGCCCTAATCCTCTTCCGTACCATCAGTGTTAGGATCTAAAAATAACTAATTTCAGCTTATGATACTTGTAGAAATATTGCTTTGATGTATTAGTGCAACGTTTTTTTTTAATAGCAGGAACATGCTTTAGCTGCTGATTTTAAGGAATTAAACTTAGTGACTGACTATTTTTCTACTAACCAGCACTGAATCCCACCTCTCTTTTTTTTCTTTTTCCTTTGGTGAATATCTTTCTGATTCTCTTGCTGGCTTTTTAGCATGATCAAGTAGCTAAGCTAAGTGATGAGCGGGTCACAACTCCCAAAAAACGAAAAGCACCTCCACCTCCTATTAGTCCACTGCAGGTAAATGCATGTCTTTTTTTGTGCGTCCAGCTTGAATCATTATACCACTCCAATTAATATTGATGCATGTTTACTATGAATTTATAAAAAAAATAGTGAATAACATTCATGCAGGGATTTGTTATTATATCCTCTTTTCTGTCTCTGTTATAGTCTAGTTTTAAAGGGAAACCAGGTTGTTGTTAGTTTCTTATTTGTGTTGAGACAGAAAAAAAAGATAGTTAATAAAGATGAGCAAATAATGTGCATTGTTTTAACCCATGCTCAGAGCTGCTTTAACATTTAAGAACTGAAATGTTTTTATGCAGAAAAAAACTGAACCCCATATATCATTTATTCATCTTTCAGAGTTCTGGGCCCTCTTCTCCCTCTTTTGTTACATCTACCAGCACTCCTGCTTCCAACAAGGATGATACTCCAAACAGATTTACCTATAAGGTAGTACAAAAGTCAAAATTTGTACTTAGAACCTTTTTTATTACAGATTTATGTTACAGTTCCTTTTTTCCCCTTTACATTTAATTATCTACAAATAGAAACAACCAAATGAACTTTGAATTTTTCTGTGTTAAAAAAATTGACTTTACAGATGCATTTTAGGTTGTTTTGGTCTTTTGCACGAAATCCTAACAAGTTATGTCAACGTTTTTGATTGTAATTAAATATTAAACGATTAAAAACCCATGAATATTTTGTTACTGTATTAGTAGTAAAGGAGAATTCGAAAGCTCGTTAAGTTCACCCCATCAGCCTCCAAAATGTATTCCCACCTGTCTGTTTGCCCTCCCTGCCTCCACCCTTCACTGCTGTCTCCTCCCCTCACTATAAAGGAGGACGAGTTCATAGGATCACCACTAAAAAAACAGGTTGAGAAGCTTCATGAAGAGAGAAACATGTTGCTGGAGACGATCGAAGACCTGAAGCAGACGGTGGAGATGGTGACAGTTCCTGAACTAGAGGTGAGGGTAATAATTACTAACCGATGGACTGTGTGATGCTTTATTTACTTTGCTCATTGGTAGCTTTAAAAAAGGTGATTGGATGAGACCAAAGGAGCTAAACAAAGAATGACGTCATTGTGGCGGTAATGATACACAATGCAGAGAACTGCGCAAACATTGGATGTTTATTTAACTATACACTGGGCAGCTATACCTCTTACAGCTTTCAAACAAGGAGATGTTTCATTTTCAACCACATTTATTACATACAAATGCATTGACATAGCAGTTTAGCAGTTTTGAAAAATAACCATTTAAAAATTTTTTTTTCTCTTTTTGATATGCAACTTAAAGCTCTTATTCTTAGTTTATTGCCAGTCTACGAATCATCTGCATTCTTAAAGGAGGTCTAACCTAAGCCTGCAACATGTCACAACTTGTGTTATTTCCCCAAGGATACCTAGAGGTCCCTAATGCTACCTTTGTGCGTCTCTTTGGCATGTGAATGTGTGTGTGTGTTTGGCAGGTTGAGCACACAGCGACTGCAGCTCTGGTTTCTGCTCTGCAAGCCAGGATTAATGCTCTTACTTTGGAAAACCAGGAGCTAGCAAACAAACTCAAGGTCTGTATGTCTCTTTGGTATATTCTATGTTTAACAGAAAGAGCATGATTAGAGTCAACATATTTACTGTTTTCAGTTTTAGAGAGCATGGTTTACTTTGTGTTCTGGTCTGTGTTATATGAGGCTGCAGGTAGAGGAAGAGGGGAGAAAGAAAACCTCAAAGTAGCATAACTAACAAATTCGGCAAGATCCTCCAAACCAGCTCTAATTATATGCATTAAGGGGAAATTAATTCAGGGCTTTCACATTCTCTGTGTAAAGGAAAGAAGGCTGTACATTTGTGTTTTATTTTTCTCCAGTTTTTTATTGTCGTTAGACTGTCACAAGTACAGAGCAACCAAATTAACTCTCTGCATTTAACCCATCGCCTCGGGGAGCAGTGGGCTGCCATTGTGCTGTGCCCTGGGTAGCAGTGTGGGTTTAAAGGTCTTGGCTCAGGGACCCAGGGTGGCAGTCTGTGGGAGTGGGGCTTGAACCCAGAACCTCAGGATTCTAAGATCTATGTAATGACCACTAGGCCAACACTCCCCAATATTAAGCCCTTTTTAATTGGTTCTCCTGCAAAACAATCCAAATGAGATTAGTGTGACAGATACTATCAGCATCCATTTTTAAGTCATGTCTCCAACTCTGAATTGCATTTAGGTCTAGATTTAACAGGGCTATTCTGAAACAGGACTGTGTCTATATTTAAATCTTTGTAGCTCTTGTTGTATTTTGAAGTTTCTGTGGCAATTGACAAGTCCTTTAGTTACTGTATATCAGGGTTGTTTACCGTATAATTCGAATAAAGGACAGAAAGCACATCTATTTAAATAGGTTATCCCGCACACAGATTCTCCACCTGATCATTTCTACATTTGGGACGATGCACCTCTTGGTTGCTTTTTATTAATGCTTCCCTTTCCTGGTCTCTCACTTTAAATGGATGGCCATGTTAAAGCTTGAGTCAGTTTTTCTAATGTTTAATGATGAATTGAAGTCTGCTCTGTGGGATGTTCAAGGTTTTGTACATTATTACTTAACCTATGAACTCTTTCATATTGTTTCATATTGTGTATGACTTTTTTTGTTCACTTATGAGCTCTAGCAAATCTCCATAGCTTCCACTGAACATCCTTTATCTACACTAAGACTACATTACACAAAGATAAATATTAGCTATCCAAACAGGATCGCTAACTGGATAGGTAAAAAGTGCTGAATACAAATGCCTCTCGCACATTCAAATGTTTATTTGTAAAATACATTTTAACACGTCATTTTCCTTTGTTACTTTGAAGTCTGTGGTTGTGATGTAGAAATTAATGTGGAAAAATTTCTCAAGGGATGAAATGATGGTATAGCTGCACAGTTCGGTCGGTATAAACAAGTGTAAACGACCTATTTTTTTCCAAATTTAGAACCAGAAAAGTATTTTCTGCCCCTATGTGCTGGTCATTGTATCCATTACCTTATGGCTAAAAACAGCAGTGTCATCTGCATAGAAAATTACATTCTCATTTCCAACTGTGGCTAGATTTGTATAAGCAGCCACTTGGAGGAAATTTACAGAGAGATTTGAAATAATTTTTTTTCACATGTTTTTATCAGTATTCTTACTGAAATTAGTTTTAAAAGTCAAATTTATGGTCTTTTTTTGAGGCGGGACCTGTCCATCTTCTGAGATCTCAACAGAACATAGTAGTCTAAACACCATTCACTGGTGTATTAAAGCAATACTACTGGGTATTAAAACAGGCTTTTCTTTAAATTCCATTTATTATTATTTTGGTTATGATTACAGTTTTATTTTAGTCATTCCGTAAAAGTTCAAAAAAAAAAAAAAAATTCCATTTGCATGTTTCCAAGCAATACAAGGCCTTGTCTATATATAGACTCAAACTCACTGCGGATCCAGACATTTGAATTGAGAAAGCTTCCTGGAGAGGTGGCGAAACGTCTTCAAATCTTGGAAACCAAGTCCAGTGGATTTTTATTTTTTTTTTAACTTTTAAGGAATGACTATGACCTGGATGACTGAGAACCTTCATCAGCATATTTTATTCATTGTTTTTTTTTTTTTTTTTTGCCAGTTGCTTTAAGTAGAAAGAAAGCCAAGATTTGTTTTCTTGAATTTTGACAGTTTAGGTTATTAGAGGAATGACAGATTTCTAATGATATTGCCACCTGCCACCCAACGCATAGAACTGCATCACAATTCTCCTTGTTCTTGTAGCTCGCACTCGTACTTTACAAGGTTTTTTGTTTTAATTTTTTTTTACCTTACCTGGAGTTATCGTTGGTGTCTGAGTTGAACTGGATTCAGGTCACCTCTGAGTATCCACTTGATCCATTTTGAATATAAGGCTTTAATTGTTTGCTAGACTGGACCCATTTAACATGAAAGAGTCACAGAAGCAGAACGGGAACCTCCGATCCAAAGTAAATTCAGGAAAATAGAACACAGACTGTTAGATGCATCGGCACTGAACTACTAACGTCTCGGTTTGCTCATCAAACTATGTTTTAGTCATAAGAGTCGAATAAAAAGGTTTTGTAGGGATAAAAAAAAGTCTTAACCAAGCTTTTACTCTCTTTAATGCAAATCAACATTGTCTCCCTGTCCTGTGTAAACACCATATACCAAGCTGTTGGGCAGGTGGCCTAGTGCTGAGGGTGTTGCACTTGGATCCTAAAGGTTCTGAATTCAAGCCCCAGTCCCACAGACTTCCACTCTGGGTCCCTGAGCAAGACCCTTAACCCCACACTGCTCCCCGGGCACCACACAGTGGCAGCCCACTGCTCCCCAAAGGGATGGGTTAAATGCAAAGAGTGAATTTCTTTGCTTTGTACTTGTGACTATGTAATGATTAAAAAAAAGTTAAATTTTTGAATTCTTGAAGCAGCTGTACATTTACAAAATAACTTTATTATATAATTGATCATGGCTTTAATTTTAGGTGTTTTTTTTTTCAAGATTAAGAAGAAATCTTTGTGTCTTTGTCAAATGTGTGTGTGTTTTTTTTTTTGTTTTTTTTTTTTGTTTTTTACAAAATTGTCATGAACTCTCACCACACAGAAACTTCCATCCCTACCAGAATATGAGCTGAAGGAGAACAGTCGCCCTAACAGCATGGCTTCCAACTCCTCCTTTCATTCCACACAGGATGAGTTTGAACTACCAGCGCAGGTACATTCTACAACCAGGGTGGAAGTGGGAGACCATCCTGGAAACATTTCTGTTACACTACAGGAAGAGGAGGCAGAAGGTGGGAGCAAGGAGGAAATCCGGATGTTAAGACAAACGCTAGAAAGTCTTCAAAACAAACTGCTTGAAACCAGGAGAGAATACGTCTTGCTTCAGGCTCAGCTCAACACTGAAAGAGGGAGAGAAAGAGAAGAGGATGGAAGTGAGAGAGAGAAAATACAAGAGGAAGAGTTGAGGAAAAGTTTAGCAGAGCTTCAGGCAAAACTGACAGACACTCAGGAAAGATACCATCAAGCTATGGAGGAAGTCGAGGATCTGAAAGCACAGATGGGAAGAGGGGACGATGAGCTGAAGGAGAAACTGGTGGTTAAGGAATTGGAACAGGAGATAAAACAACTGAAGGCCCAGCTCGCCCAGTTGGGGTCAGAGAAAGAAAAAACGGCTCAAAGAATCAGAGAGCTGGAAGAAGAGCTGCAACGGACAGATGAGGAGAGGCAGGCGGCAAAGGATGGAGAACAGAGAACGGCCCAGATAGAGGAGCTTTACAAGGAGGCACAGGAGGAAGTCAGAATGCTTCAGGTAAAATTAAGAGCCACTTTTTTTACGTATTGAGAGAAAATAAAATAAAATTTCTCATTTTATTTTAAATTTCTTTTTTTTTCAACTTGCGTAAGAAGTGCCACTTTCTTAGTTCACAATGTCTTCATTCCTGCTGTGTAGGAGGCCTTGAAGGGCACAGTTCCTGTCGAAGCTGCAGCCAAAGACTTTGAGGAGATGAAGAAGGAGCTTAACGAGGTCATTGCTGGGCAGCAGCAGCGCTTGCTGGAGCTGTCACACTCCTATAGTGAAACCAAAAACCAATTGAATGCAACTCAAAAAGAGCTTGCAGAGGCTCGAGCTGAGAATACAACAGCATTATCCATCTCTTCAGAGCAAAAGGTCCAGCTGCTGAGCAGTAAAGTGGAGGAGCTGGAGATGTTACTCGCTGAGACAGAAGGGAAGCTCTCAGTTGCTCAGGAGGATATTACTCACCTGAGGCAGGAGGCGGAGGCTCAGGCTCAGAGCTCTGTGACCCTTACTGATCACACACAGGTTGTTTCATCCCTGGGGAATGCCATCAAGGAGTTGGAAAGTGACTTAGAAACCCTCAGACAGGAGCTGCATCAAAAGACAACTCAAGTGGAGACACTTCAAAAGAGGTGAGGAGAGAAGCTTCAAGAAAAAGCTAGAACTAATACGATTCTAGTGCTGCAACATACAAATATTTAACTAATCAATCTATAAATTATTTTTGCAATTACTTAATAATCAGATGGCAAAAAGTGCTTTATTATATAATAGAATAGAATAGAAAATCCCATTATTCTCCCACAATGGGGAAATTGTGGGACACCACTGTAAAACATTACAGCAAAAGTGGTCACACAAATGTGGAAATTAAAAAAAGATTAAAAAAAATATTTTCTTTTCATTATTTATCCAGGTAAAGCTAGAACTGTGCCAGTAGAGAAGAACTGGATAGGGGATATTTACTGACGGTTACGTTTTTTAATCTAAATGCAAATATATTTTGTGCAATTCTGGCCAAATTATTGCTCTTTGTTCATTTGTTTTTTCTTAAACAAATGACATGTTTTAGAGTCTTCATACTCCAATTAATGATAAATGAATTACTAAATTAGTTAAAAATTATTTTGATAATTGATTAGGCCGATGCATTGTTCCAGCCCTATTGGATATAACTGTCAGTAATCTAACAAGGCACATACATTAGACTAAATGCACTTTTCTTTGTCAACGTTATGTCTTCAGTGAACTAATACACGTGAACACACAATGCATTTCTTTAAAGAATGCAGGGCAGGCATTTTTGTGTACATTTCTGTGTACTCCGACGTCGAGGTGCTAACGTCTCTGTTAAACACTTTAAAAAACTCTGAAAATGGAATACGAAAGGTGGATTCTTGATTCTCGACGTCGGAGTACACAGAGTGAAGCGAAAAGACTACAACTGTGTAAACAGGCCCCATTTCCGTTTCCGGTGGCAGCGGAATATTGACTATTCCAACAGAACTCAATGGGATTTACAAAATGCTAAATAAAACACTACAGGAACGTTTTTTCTTTACGAAACTTTTTTTGGAACGTCATTGAACAGCGCTGACGACCCGGTGAGTAGCATATTTAAAAAAAAGAACGTTTAAGGTTGTTTTAAGGACATTATCGGACATGCACAATGGAAGCCATTCTAAAGCAGCCAGGGGGTGATTCTGCATGAGCCAAAAAGCAGAGACAGGACCATTTTGGTGTCGATCATTCGATTTCATCCTGGACACTACAGAAAATGGGCTAAAAGTGTTAAAAAACGGAATTCTCCTTTAAATGCTTGTTCAGAGTACTTTGCTATTAGGGTTGCCTTAAAAAGTGCTTGCTTCTACTAACATATATATCTGTGCTTTTGCTGCAACTTTCTCTTCCCTTTTCTGTGGCAGCAAAACCCACTTTAAGCATATCAAGTACCACCAAACGGAAGGAGTGAGAAAGTCATCTTAATTTTTTTAAACTGTCACCAAAACGTAGGTCTGTGATTTGAAAACTGTGATTAGTTAAATTGTGATTATAATGCAATTGCAATTATTTGCCCTAGCCCTATTCAGTACAGGACTGGTTAACAGATTGGGTTCATACTCATCATCTTTGATAAGAGACCATCTCCCAGAGGCCACACCATTTGCAGGTGGAACCAAGAAGGACGGGTGCAAAAGGATTTGCGAGCAATTGAAAGCCTTGGCGACCTGTTCCTTGGTTGCTTAAAACTAGTTCTGGGCATGTAGTAAATAGTCTTGAGATCATTTTTTTTTATGCAACAAGTGAATATTGTATAAAAAGAAGAGTCTTGCTCTGAGGTCTAGAGTAGTTGTTCACTATGGAGTCATAAGTGTTAAATATGGTTTACTGTAAAATAAGTTGATTTATTTCTCTATATTTGTGTGAAACAGGCTGAATGCAGAGCAAGACGTTTCCTCAGACGACACGGTTCCCCGTCCGGATCATGAGAGCATGAAGGAGCAGCTGGAAGGTGAGGTGAATCATCTGACCCAACTCCTTCAGGATGCCTTGAGGAAGCAGGATGAGATGGCTCTGGAAGCAGCAGACGCTTGGCAAAAGGTGAGAGAAGATAACAAAACATCCACAGAAGAGGATTTAAAGTACCTGTTTGCCCTCCTGTTATGACTTCTTGCATTCAATTTTAATTTCTGTCCTCTTTCAGGCACGGGATAATCGTTCAGAGCGAGAAACTCTGCAGGAGCTATTGATGTCGCGGGAAAAGGAGAACCAGACACTGACCGCCAAACTTGCTGAATCACAGGATGCTGTGTGTCAGCTCAAACAGCTCATAGAGAATCATGTTGCATCAGAAAGAGAAAAGAACAAGAGGGTCAGCAATAAACAGCTCATCTGCACCTAGATCTACCTTAGGAACATCATTTAAATGTCTGCAGAGCTTTGGAGGAAAGCTTAATCAGAAAACATAAACATGAATAAATCCTCTCAGCTAATATCTCTTTATAAAATAAAAGTATTAGATTACACACACTAGCTCAAGTAGGCTTATAAGTGTGGACATGTTGAAAAGTGAACAAGAAAAGTTGAATTTATCAATATAAGTCAGAGCACCTATCATTTTTTTTACATTTCTTTTATTTGCAAGTGACAGTAAGCACACTTAATTCAAAACAATATTTTTTCTCCTTTTCTGCATCATGTTTATTGCTAAATGAAGCTTTGTTTTAATCCATTTTCAGATAGATGACCTGTCCCGGGAAGTAGGCAAGCTGAAGGAAGCTCTGAACAGCCTATCACAGCTTTCCTACAGTTCCTGCTCTCCGTCCAAGAGACAACAGCAAAACCAGCAGACGGAAACACTTCAGCAGCAAATAAAACAGCTTCAGTACCAGCTAGCTGTAAGAGTCTCTAGAATGACTACACAGTAATATACTCTTGGTGATATTTGTATTTCTGCTGCACCTAAACTAAACTGTTACCCGGTGTTGCCTTTAAAGGAATCAAAGAAGCAACATGATGAAACAGTTTCAGTATACAGGATGCATCTTCTCTACGCTGTCCAGGTAAATCTGTTCACATTTTAAATAAAATGCAATTTAAAACAGGTTTATATTGTGCAGCAGTTTGGCATAATGTGAAATTTTATTGAATTATTATTATGTAATCGTCTTTGCATCCATCCATGCTGTTTTTTTATTTTAAGTGTGGAAAAAAGTATTAAGAACTCAGAAAATGTGCATCTAAAAAATGTTGCTGTAAAGAACAAAAAAAAAATATATCTATCTATGAATGTTTGTGTCGGGTTTACAGTTGAAAGCTGTAAACGTCTGGTGTGTTCTGTATTTCCGATAAATCATATTGCTTTTAACCAGATAATAACTGAAGCTTTGCCGTGTCCCTCAGGGTCAGATGGACGAGGATGTCCAGAAAGCTTTGAAGCAGATTTTGAAGATGTGCAAGATGCCAAGTCAAGCCAAGGAGACCTGCTAAGAGACAGCTGGGAGTCTTCACTAAAGCACATTTATTTTGTGATTTAAAACAAAGCACATTGTGCCTGTGTATATGCCCAGATTATTTGCTGATAACGAGCTGGTTTACAAGTATGAGTTTATTGCCTCTGCTAAGGTCATTTGAACCTATAAAGCTCCCGTTCGACACACCCCTGACATTAAAGTGTTCTCTGTTAATGGATGATTTATTTGGAAAAGCACATGTGAAATGAGGTCAGCCAGGTGCCACTGCAGTGTCTAAAGCCATCCAGCTTAAAGGAAACACATCAGCTGCAAAAATTATAGATTTCTATTTTTAATATTCCACGTTAAGTATTGATGTCCTTAAAAATGTAATCAATCAGGTTGCCATGTTTGTGGGAAATCAATACAATTAAATTGCATACAAAATCCATGTAAGAAAAGGACTTTAACCTAAAGCTGGAGGAACCAGGACCCACAGGCGAGTAAGATTAAAAGCAGATGTAAATAGCTGCTTTACATTTGTTGTAAAGATGGATGTGGAAACACTCTCTTGTACATCATTTAGACCAGATTGATCTCCCATGAATAAGATCTGTCAGCCAAATTTGTGATCTAAGTTTGCCAGCAAAGGCACAACACACACAAAGGGGCTGGTTTAGCTGAAAAAAAATCAAGGTGGTCAGTTTCAATGTCTCTTTACTGTGACACGGACGTGCTGCATGTGTGTAGAATCACTCCAATGCTGTTTTTTTCCTAACCGAGCGTGTGTGGTGTCCATTTTTCAGAAATATTGAAAGTAATAGGCCTTTTGAGCAATGCAAAAGCTTCTCCTAGCACTTCTTTACAGAAATAAATTAATAATAATTAAAAAATACAAACAATATAGGCTATTTTTGTGCTCACTAAGTCACTATATTATTATAAAAGGCTTCTTGCTGTGCTTTCCATGGCTTTGTAAGTTTTTTGGGACTGAAAATAATTTCTTTGTAACAAAGCAATATGTGTTGTAGTTTCTAAAAAAAATTGTTTATCTTCCTGTTATGGTCCATACTATAGACTGATTTCGTTTACTGTTTTAGAAAAAAAAAGAATTTCACTTGTGACAAATGCCTAACAGTATGCGTTTGATATTTATATCTTTTAACTATGTTTAGTTTCCTTACTGTTTCGTCTTTTGTTTGCAGCCTTTTTACTTGAAAAGCATACAAGATATATTGTCTGGAAACGATTGGCTGAGTTCTCCTGCCACGTGCCTGTAAAACCCTATTTAGTAACATCTCAGTAATTTATTTACATTTGTCTCATTTTATGTGGTTTCCTTTTTTGATTCAGTGTTCATCTGTAGGTACAGAGACCATTTTCACAATACCTTAAATTAACTGCATGTGTCTTCTGGGGGCCTCGACACTGTTTTCTCTCTGCACTTCTTTGCCTTAGTACTGTTCCAAGGGAGGTCATATTTCTACTGAAAAGCTTTGTGGCTATTCATTGTACAATCAAGACTAAAATGATTGTACTTTTATACCTGACTGAGATGTGTTTGATGACTATAGATCTTCAGAGGTCTTAAATCGAGTCCATAAGAGATAATTAACTTCTTTGCTTCAAGCCTTGGCTCTAATATTTTGTACCAATAAGGGAAATCTAAGAACACGGACTTTGGTGTTTGGTTTACTAACAGTTTTGTAGTGAAAAGAAAAATGTTTACCAACCCTATTTTGCCCACTTTATTAAAATTTTAAGATACTGTGTCATAAACTGTGTCTTACATTTGCCGTCTGTCATGGTTCAAATTACCACTTAATTTTACTGCAGTTGGAGGACACATGTTGGTGTGAACAGGAATTTGATATAAATTGTGACAAACCAGAAGAATTTATTTACTATATAATCTAAAAAGATTCGTAAAAAGGCCTAGACACATTGGCCTTTCAGGCATACACAGTGCACTGGCAGGCCATTCCTTCTGCCATAGAATTGCCTCCTCTCTGTTTCCCCTTTTTTTGTTATGCCAACCCGTGCACTGGTCTATATAAAAATCCATGAATTTCTGACCTAAATTTATTTTTGTTTCAGGTTATTTTTTACTATCAAACAATTTTATATCAGTTTAATGTATAGGAAGGCAGTTTTCAAACAAGGATTAATTAAGAGAACCATGAATTCTTTACCTGAGGTCATCCAAAGAACCTCAAGCACATTCAAGGTTGTACTTTAAAACCCCTGGTAGGGTCTGCCTAGGCAAAGAGGCTCTGGGTGACTGGTCAGAAAAGAGTGGTTCAAAAAGCCTTTAAAAAGAAACCGAGGTATGTGACCTTCTACAGTGAAGCCAGGACTCTACCACGTAACCATTCCTGAGGTTGGGGTTTGTTAGCCCAAGTTTTTCCTTGCAGGACCTGGCAAGACCAAGTCCATGAGGGAACGGTTCAAAGAGGATTGGACAGCAGCCTGAGGCAGGGGCGACCCGGACCATGGATGCTTAAACTGGCTCTGGGAACATGGAATGTCACCTTGCAGGGAAGGAAGGAGCCTGAGCTTTTGGGGAAGTGGAGCGGTAGAAGTAGTCGGGCTTGCCTCCACATAGCCTGGGCTCTTGAACCGAGCTCTTTGAGAGATGCTGCACTCTTCTAATCTGGAGTAGTCCACTGGGAGACATGGAGACGGGGATGGGTCTGCTTGTCTCTCCAACACCTCAGCCATTTCTTGTTGGGAGTTTACCCTGGTGGACGAGAGGGTCGCATCCCTTCGTCTTCGGTTAGTGGGCAGAGTTCTGACTCTTGTTTCGGCCTATGGGCCAAACAGCAAAATGGAGTACCGGGCCTTACGCATCCCTGGGGGAATGGTCCATCATTCTGAAGGACCTCAAGGCCCATGTGGGAAACAACAGTGATACCTGGAGATGAGCAGCAGCAACAGTTCTACTGAAGCCAAGTGTGACACAGCCCGGGTAGTTGCAGAGGCAAAAACTGGAGTCTGGGAGGAATTTGGAGAGGCCATAGAGAAAGACCTCAAAGTAATTTGTATCATCCAGTATCTCCAGAGGGGAAAGCAGTGTTTTGCTATCACTGTTTTCATTGGGAGTGGGGAGTTGCTGGCATCGTTGGATGGTGCAAGGATCTCCTTAATCTGGCTGAGAAGCCTTACGCAGGGGAAGAAGAGACAGGATACTCTGGGCCAGATTCACTAATCATCCAGCCAGAAGTCACTGAGGTGGTCAAATATCTCCAAATTGCCAAGGCGGATGAGATCGCCCTGACTACCTTAGAGCTCTAGATGTTGTTGGACTGATGCACCTCTTGAATATTGTGTGGAGGTCAGTGGACAGTGTCTCTGGACTTACAGACTGTCGTGGTGATTCCCCCTCATAAGAATGGGGGATTTAACCTGCTTATTGAGAGTGAAGTGCTCTGTTAGGAACATACGGAACAATCATATCTCTGATGTAAGGTGGAGCTTGGCCATTTAAGGATTTGTGACAAGGAGGATTTTAAATTCTATGCGGGACTTAAGAGGAGGTCATTTAAGAGAAGCTGGGATAGGAGAAATATGATATCTCTTTTTAATTTTCATCAGAACTGTTGCTGCAGTATTTTGGATCAGCTGAAGGGTTTTAACTACAGTTTGTAGACTTACATATACTAAAGAATTACAATAGTCCAACCATGAGAAAACAAAATGCATGGAAGTTTTTCAGCATCATCCCTGGACAGGATATTTCTAATTTTTGCAATATTTCACTTGGATATGGGATTTAAATGACAGATCCTGATCAAAAATAACACCAAGATTTTTTACTTTATTATCTGAGATCAATTAAATCCCATCCAAATGAAGTGACTGACTTATTTTTCAAAGACTTTGGTCCAGAGTCTGTAACTTTACATTACAATGTTGCCCTATTGAATGTGGATGACTATACAGTGTTTAAGTTAGTCGGATTGAAGGGGTTTCAGCAAACCCAAAATAGGCCTAAAGACCTCAATGCATGGAACAGTGCGCCAGCTCCACACTCTCTGCAGGGCCGTAGGGTGTCTGGTTGGGTTTGGTTGGTGTTGGCAGAACTCATCTCTGATTTTCAAAGATGATGTTGTTCCGCTGGCTCTCTCCTGCCAAGACCTTAACAGACCTACTGGGGCAGTTTGTAACCAAATGTTTAGCAGTAGGGATGGGAATCAGCTCCTCCAAGTCCTAGGCCATGAATTTCAACTGAAAAAATGTGGCTTGTCCCCTTCAGGTAGGGGGAGAGTTCTTGCCTCAATTTGAGGAGTTCAAAGATTGTAGGGTCCTGTTTATGACTGAGGGAAAAATGGAACAGGAGAACCATAGTAGGATCAGTGTAGCTGCTGATACAATGCAGATGCTGAACTGGTCTGTTGTGGTGAAGAGAGAGCTGAGCAAAAATAAATAGTTCTAGATTTACCTTCCCATCCTCCCGTATGATCAGGAAATCTGGATCATGACCGAAAGGACAAGATCCCGATACAAGCGGCTGAGATTAACATTCTTTGCAGGGTGGTAGAAGGGATAGGGTGAAGATCACAGTCATTTTGGACAGGCCTTGAGTAGAGACACTTCTCCACATTGAAAGAAGTCAGCTGAGGTGGCTCGAACATATTTTTCGGATACCAGCTGGACGCCTTCCGCAGGATTTGTTCCAGGCAGGTCCCACTAGGAGGAGGCCCAGGGGATGACCCAGGACATGCTGGGGGATTATGTCTCTAATAATTTCAAAGTGATATTTCAAAGCTTATTTTTTCAGAAGTTTAAGAGATGCTTTCTGAATAAACAACCTTCACTATTTAAAGTTGTTCATCAAACATGCGACTGTTACAAAGTGACATTTATCTTAGCAAAAAAAAAAAAACAAATACAACACTTTTGACATTATCTTCTGCTGTTCCATTCATCTGATTCGAAACACATAACTAAAGAATCTGTCACAATAATTAGCTGAACATGTTACCTAAAGTGTGGTCACAATTCAAGCTGTACAGGCAGTAGTTTGCCAACAGATGGCAGCACACATCAGGGATACATCTCCTCGCAAATAGTCTGTGTTCAAACAACTGGGAAACAAATTTAGACCGTCTTATAAAACTTCACGGGTGATTTTTCTAGGTGTAGTTACGTTTTGTCATCCATGTAAATATATAATACATCCCTCATCAACTTTTTTTGTTGGTTACATTCTGGAGGTCACAGGTTGACTTTGGGCCCTGGGATGCATTATGATGTAACATACAACCTTGTACTTTCTGCAGCTTAGATGTTCCCTTAGATCTTACAAATGTGTGAAAATATTTTGTTTCTATAAGGGGTCATTTCAAAAGAAAGGAAAGTAACTTTTAGTTCTTATAATTTTTGCAAATTAGAACTACAGGTAAGTAAAATGAAGTATATTGTGACTATCCATAAAGTATGGGACTTCCACTTGCCATTAAGGTAATAATTTGCATTTCTCAAGATTTTGGAAGGTAACATGTTAGTTTTATGAATGTCACCTCTAAGTTTTTCAGTAATCTTTAAGTTTTTGAGTTTAATTTGCTGAAAATATCATCTCCCATATGTATTACAAACAAATAGGAAGGTAGAGAGCTTGCTAAACACTTTTTTTTTTTTATGTGTCCAACAATCCATTTGCATATGCGTTTTCTTTATCATATTCCAAATTTATACCAGAACTACAGTACTATACCCTTCTAAGTTTCAAATACTCAGGATAGAAAAAGAATTACATAAACTGTTTATTTTCCTGCTTGGTTAGGCTCACTGCGGTGAATGTCAGCAACTGGTTCTCCCTCAGTTTCTGTTCAGCCATATCTCTCAGAAGTGGTGCCAACTTAGTTATGAGTCATTTATCTGCCGCTCTGTTTTCTGCTAACCGGTGGCACAAGCACTTTGTTTCCTGTCGTGGCCTTTTGTGTTTTGCCTGCTGGGCGAACACACACATGCAGATAAGCACAGAGGAACACTTGCATACCTTTGCCCTTAGTCGACCACTTCCTGTCAACCTTTGCTTTCTCCCACGTTCTGCCCTCAGACATCAGGGGTTAGTGTAGGGTAGACCGATGCTGTGATCATAATCCAGAAACTGCCCACATTTGTTAAACATCCTGAGGTTAAAAAAACAAAAAGTCTGGCATCTGAAATTCCGGATGGTAGGCTTAAATAACTCAAAACTTATTTAATATGGAGTTGTTTCCATCTATTGCAATTTAAATCAAGACAGAAAAATCTACTGTAATACTTTTTTTTTTTTTTAAATCACAGGATTTTGGTTTTGGGCTGACAACTGATGACTGCAAATCATTGAGCTAGTAAATCTCTGAAGCTCCAGATCACAGATATTAAGAAACAAAAGTATTATTTTAAAATAGATGAAGAGTATAAATTCCTCATTTTATTTAAACTGCACTTAATTTTAAAGACCCATGAATACTATATTAGTGGTATACTGATAGACAAGACAAAAATGTAATGACTAAAATTCAAAAACATAAAAAAAAAAAAACCAACTAGATTAGAAGAGATACTATATGGATTTAATCACTGTATGGATGAATAATTCTCCATTGACCCTACTGAAGTTGCAAATGTACAGTAAACCTGCTCCTGCTTCCAGGATCATATGGGAAGAACACCATAGTGGAACACCAATAGCTTTGTAGTGAGCTAAAATACCAACAGTTAGATAATCATTACATTTACTCAATGTGTTTGTTTAAATTGTATATTCCTGACTAATCGTGGTTTGTGTC